AGCAAAGCATCAGCTTGGCATGCAGATGGTCCCAGGTTCAGTCCCTGGCATCTCCAGTTAAAAGGGTCAGGCGATGTGAAAAACCCTCGGCCTGAAACCCTGAAGAGGTTCTACCAGTGAGAGTAAACAATGCTGACCTTGACAGACCAACAGTGACACTGTGACTTTGCTTAGGGTGACACTGCATGGGCCTGACTCAGTGTTCTGTTAACAAAATATGAAGTGACTTGTAAGTAAATGAAGACAAACATTAGTGAAAACAAGATTTCAACCTTCCTTCCACATGACAGTCCAACTCACCAACAAAAGCTGAATATTATATATTTGACAAAGCATAGTTAGTTTATTATTATAACAATCCGAGATCAGCAGTCAAGCATATCAGCAATACATAGTACACACTGGATGCATATATATTCTGTACAGAAAATATACAATTAATAGTAATTATGAAATTATTAAAACACTAGACCATGTTCTTCTGCTTTGTTAAAAACATGCCAGAGTGCAGAATCTTGCTACCTTATGCAAATTAAATAACTATGCAAATTTGAAAGTTCTGAATCATTAACAGTCAGCAGGGAACTTGAATATAACCATAAGTTATTATTTTGTCCGTTCTAAACTGGATAACAGTATGTTTCTTAGCAAAAAAAACCCACTGACATCCTTTGACAATCATATCAAATGCTTCAAATAAAGAACATATCGGATCAGACTCTGTGGCTCCACTGCATCAATGGTGGCCTTTTCTTTTGATGCGAGAAGCCTTCCTTGCACCAGAGGAAACAGCCACTTTTAGGCTGCGATCATACGTGCCTTTAGATCTGACATAGCTGCGAAGGCCTGATCGATCTAAAGGGAGTGATCAGACGGCAACATCTGGGAAACGTCCCGCAGTCGTCAGCAACCTGTGCTGCTCCACCACAGAAGCGGAGGTAAAAGACACTGGGGAAAGTCCAGCTCTAACTGGTTCTGATGGGCCACAGATGGACTTTCCCGTCTGATAGCTCAAGCACGCTCTCATGCTGTTGGGATGGTCTGATCATTCCATCCCAACTCTGTGCTGTCCCCCCCCCCAGTATGCCCTTAATTGCATACTCCATGGGGAACCCTCGATGCGGACGTCCGATTCCTCATTTATGCACATGGGAAACAAATGACCAAAAAAACCCCTGACTCACCCATGGCGGCGTCTGATCACACAGTGACGGGCAGAGCCCACAGCACAAAGGGATGTGTGATCCGACATACCTAAGGGACCACCTTTCCCCATATGTTCCCCTACGGGCACTACGGTTGGGGACGCAACATCTCCTGGTGATCCCAGGCCCCAAGGAGGCCAGGCTGGCTGCAACCAGGGCCAGGGCTTTTTCGGTGGCGGCTCCTACCTGGTGGAACGAGCTCCCAGAGGAGATCCGGGCCCTGCGGGACCTTGCGCAGTTCCGCAAGGCCTGTAAGACGGAGCTCTTCCACCAGGCTCTTCGGTAGGAGCCGCCACTACCTCACTACCTCACCATTATTCCCTTTACCATCATCATCAACTGGCCCTGGAAGGAGTGAACGACAGCGCTGCGTGGACACCACTGATCTGGGAGTACTTTTTTTTATGATGCCATCTTTTTATTGAAAACTGATCTGAAACATCTAGAGCACTTTATAATTTTGTAATATCATAATGATTGTTTTTAAGCCGTTTTAACCTGTTTTATGTATTGGCATGTGCCCCATTGTGAGCCGCCCCGAGCCCGTTTGTGGGGAGGGCGGGCTACAAATTAAAATAATAAACAAATAAATAAATCTTACAACTGCGTGTCAAATTCCTCCGGAGGAAATAGCCTCGCTTCCCCTCCGCTCCAACTGGCACGTGTGACCGCAGCCTTCATGGAACAAATCCGCAAGATCAAACTCACTATATGTACAACCATCATCTGAGCTTTAAAAACATATTTACCTGTATATCTGTGAAGTTCGGGGCTGACTGAGTTCTCTGTAGTATTTCTAAGTTTTGAAGAATTTTACTGAGTTCCACAAGGTTTGACTGGCAGTGCGAGAGATCTAATACACACACACAAAAAAGTACATCAGTTATCCTGACTACGATCTTCTTTGCCAAGGTATCTCATGCCATTAAGGAGTGTACTTTGCCCCTGCAGAAGCACAATCAAAGGCACACTGCCTGATGTAGCAAATAAGCAACTTTCAGCAACACTTTCTATAGGCATAAAGAGGTACATGCTGAAAGAGAGAACCATGGGACTTTTCCATTCGTCTGATTCTTCTTTGTCCTTACTGACAAGCTATGGTACACACAGGATGAGAATTCGGGCAAAGAAAATTTTAACCTTTACCTTTACTAATAAAATATTGAAGGCCACAAAAGACTCACTGGTTGAGGTGGAATACAAAAACTTAGGCAAAAGACAGATACAGTAATCTGGAGGAGTAGGGGCCCTTTTTTCTTTTGAATGTGCCCTTCCCATCAGGAAATAAAAGGCTTTTTCCTGAAGGCTCGGCATACCCACAGTGACGTCTTATTTTCCAGAAAGGCAGGCAGTGGAAGCTTGTAGCTACACAGCACCAAGAAAGGTGCACACTTCTTTCATTTCCAGCAGGAACTCTCTCTTCAGGAAATGAGGTCACCCTGAAGACATACAGCCCCTTAGGATGACTTCTCATTTCCTGACTAGAAAAGAGCCTGCAAATTAAGAACCAATGGAACTCTTTTGTGAACGGCTTTTCTTCTTTTAGGTTCCCTATCAGTACAGCATCACTGAAGACAGAAGGGTGAGTGGAGCCCAGGAAGTCAGGTCTACTTGATCAGCCATTCATTGGTCTTTCCAGTCCATTTTTTTTTTTAATTAATTTTAGAATACAAACTGGAAACTTTAAAACAAGATCATTTTCAATACATAATAACTACAAGTTGTTATGAGATATAATGAGGTTTAGAATTTACCTGTCTTTTCAGTCCATTTAAAGTTTAATGGGCCATTATTTTCTGTGGGAGGAGACCTGGACTCTTGATTTTGGAGGCCAGGTTTTCCCATAGCAAATAATGTCCCTTTAAAATTCAAAGGGAAAGTACCGAACAGCTGTTTGGAGAGACCAGCTTCTCCTCTCTCCCTGCTTTTGGAAAGCCAGGGGCAGGGGCAAGGGCTAAAATGGTCCCAAATTTGGGGGACAAAAAACAACAACAACAACCTGGAGAAAACCCCAGAGCCATAAGGAGAGTCCCAAAAGATCAGGTTAATGAAAAGCATGTCCTCTCCAAATCTGGATCCAAAATTAATCTGTAAAATGTTATATCCAGTCCACACCCCTACTAAAGACCCAATAAGAGCTCCTCATTTATATGTTTTTAATTGAATTTTATATTTTCAACTGTATTTTTAATTATTTAAATGTTTTAATGTTTTTATATTCACTGCCTTTTGGACCCTGATTGGGTGGAAAGGCGGCACGAAGATGTTTTAAAAAAATAAAATTTAAACAATAGCTTCCATCAACACTGGTACATGCCACAGAGGAAGAAAATGACTAGAGCTACACAGCCTGAACATCATATTTTAAATTCAAAGTCACTATTGGTCATGATTCCGGGACCAGGGTACATTAAAGGCCGCTTGTTCTCACATGAGCCTATCCGTCAGCTTCATGTGCCCCTTCCGTCAGCTTCATGTGCCCCTTCCCCTATGAAGTACCAGAAAAAGAACCTTTTTTGTCATGGTCTCTCAAATTTGGGGGCCCCTCTCAACAATCATCCAGGCACCTTGTATATCTAATTTTTAGGTATGAAGTAAAAACTTTGATTCTGAGAGTTATTGGCTTACTATTGACTCTAATTTTACTAACTGGTGTTTTATTTTAACTGTTTTTATGTTGCACGTTGTTGTGTATATAACCATGGGGTATATATGTTTTAATTAATTATTCCCTGTGAATCAGAAGAACCAGTAAGACTCTAATTTTACCAACTGGTGGGATATTTTAACTGTTTTTATGTTGCAAGTATATAACCATGGGGTATATATGTTTTAATTAATTATTCCCTGTGAATCAGAAGAACCAGTAATGACTCCAGTGAGATTCTAACCCTTAAAACTCTTAGTTTAAAACCAGGTTTCAGGAATAGGAAAATTCAAAGAGAAGTATCTGCCAACTAGTAGCTGATTGCTGAAGATGACTTAAAGGAAAATACTGATTGGTCTCATGAAAGAACTTAGCCAGTTTGATTAGTCAGTGGAAAGGTTCATTTCAGCAGCTCTGGAAACAATGCTTAACAACATAGGTGAGGAAAGCCAAAAAAGAGGTAACTCTGAAATGAAACGAAGAAGGCTGTTTGTGTGTTTTTTACTACAACAAACAAAATAAAGTATTAACATCACATCACTAAGCACATATCCTCCTAGTGTACCAAAAGGCTGTAAGATTAAATTATACACGTATCTCTCCTGCTGACTGGATAAGATATACTGTTTTGTAGCAGGGGAATTAATAACTTAAAGGGCAAGCCGGACATAAAGTAGAAACTGACCTTCTGCACACCTGTCCATCTCCTCAGAGTTCTGCAGCCAAGCGACGACTTTACTTTGCCCAGTGGTACACGTTGCAGGAAGACTGCTACTGCAAGGGATGGATGGCTGCCATGGGAAGCTATTCTGTGGTACCTAAACAAAATATATTTAAGAAAATACTGTATTGAGTGGGGGGACTGCCCATGAAAAAACCCTAACCAGTAAAAGGAGACAAACATTATCCCCTCTTGAAAACACAATTTTTTCACTCTAGTCTACAGGAAACCTAATAAATGATCTTTGGAAAGATGTGGCAAAATGAACCCTTCAGTCATACAATTTTCTCCTTTCATCATTAGTTCTGCCTCTTTTGGAGATTCCTCACATAGCTAGTGACACCCATTTTCTAACTGACGACAATGCTTGCTGTGTGTCAGGGAAATCTGGTAAACTATTCAACAAATGCATATTTTAATGTAATTATTTCATTTCTCCCCACTTTTCTCCCCAATGGGAGCTCTGGTAAACTATTCAACAAATGCATATTTCTCCCCACTTTTCTCCCCAATGGGGGCTCATTAGTCTCCTCTCCTCCATTTTATCCTCACAACAACCCTGTGAGGTAGGCTAGATTGAGACCAAGATCACCCACCGAAAGCTTCCATGAAAGAGTGGGGATCTGAACATAAGTCTCCCAAATCCCAATCTGACTCTCTAAACTACACCACACTTACTCTCATATAAATATCATACATCTTTTGAGTAAGCGAGAGGATTGGGAAGATCTAACCAAGTTATTTACCCTGAGTTTGGTGTAGTGATTAAGAGTGGCGGACTCTAATCTGGAGAACTGGGTTTGATTCTTCACTCCTCCACATGCAGCCAGCTGGGTGACCTTAGGTCAACCACAGTTCTCCCAGAGCTGTTCTCTCAAGAGCAGTTCTCTCAGAGCGCTCTCAGCCCCACCTACCTTAAAGGGTGTCTGTTGTGGGGAGAGGAAGGGAAGGAGATTGTAAATCACTCTGAGACTCCTTTGGGTAGTGAAAAGCGGAGTTTAAACACCAACTCTTCTTCTGAGCAAGCAGGCTTTAGAAAAGGGCAAAGCACCATAAATCATTGCTTGATGTTTTACTATCTTGCTGCACAATGTAGCAAAGGGCCCACTAAGCACCTATACATGAGCAACATCAAGATGGGGGGGGGACCTCCCGTAAGAGGGACATCTTATACCTTTGCCTCCAATACAGTGACATTAGCAGCAGGTGAAGACTCAGTGGTTGATGTAGACGGGAATATGTGGAAGTTGGCATCTCGTGGTGATCGTACAATCTCATTCTGACGATACAGTCTGTGGTGTCGCAGCTTTGATACCCAAGCATCAAATGAATCCTGGGATTTTACCTAGTCAACGAGAACGTACAGTTCAGAACAGCCTCTGACCTTCACCAAGTCATTTGATGGTGGCAAGTAGGAAAGGAAGCTGAAGGAAATACTCCTTACTTTCAAGTGGTAGATGTGCTCTTCGGTATCGAGATCTATCCTGCGAGCTTTCTTTTTAATCGACATAACCGACAACCCAACATCTATGCTCCCATGGACTTTCCCTTTCTGAGTCTGGCAAAAAAAAATCAGAGAAAAGACTACAATCAGCCTAGAAAAATAAAGTAATTCAGTGCTTTAGTATAGGTCTAAACAGGAGTATATTATTTATTGGGCGACAGTTCAGGTTCATTGTAGCAAGCAGAGCTGGAGAAAGAGGGAGGTTAGGAAAAAATATCAAGTGCCTTTCATCAGAAGAGGCATAGTGAAGCTAGCAATGCATAGTCCTTTTTTTTCCTCTCCTCAAGATTTAACGGATTGAGATCGGTGAAAAAATATTACACAGAATTTTGCAAAACTAATTTAAGGAAGATTTGAAAATCTAAGTAAAAACTGAGGCCAATATTCGAATAGGCCAGGGGTCTCCAAGAGGTAGCTTCTGTGCTGCTGGTAGCTTGCTGGCTGTTGTGAAGTAGCTCATGCAGCCCTTAGAAGACCCGGGAAAAGACCGCAAAAAGATCTGCTCTCGGCAGCTTAAAAAGGGAAAAAAGCTTTATTTCTGGTGTTTTTCTTAGTTATTTAACGGATTTAACGGATTGAGATCGGTGAAAAAATATTACACAGAATTTTGCAAAACTAATTTAAGGAAGATTTGAAAATCTAAGAATCAGTAAAAACTGAGGCCAATATTCGAATAGGCCAGGGGTCTCCAAGAGGTAGCTTCTGAGCTACTGGTAGCTTGCTGGCTGTTGTGGAGTAGCTCATGCAGCCCTTAGAAGACCCGGGAAAAGACCGCAAAAAGATCTGCTCTCGGCAGCTTAAAAAGGGAAAAAAGCTTTATTTCTGGTGTTTTTCTTAGTTCATGTTCAAAACCTGGGCTGCTTCCACACCAAGGATTTACTTCATTTCACCTAATTGGCGCATCCCCCCCTTTTGTCCTCTGTGTGTACAAAGCCCATTAACAGCCCATTCTTTCCGCACACAAAAATCTGCTTTACTTTAAACCTGTAAAAAACCAGCATGTCCTGGGCAAGATACTATCAGGAGGAACAGTTTCTTGTGTCTGAAGAGGAAACTGCATAATTTCAGGACCTCGGTGAAGTGCTAGCTGGTTAACTGGGTGTCATTATTATAGCCAGATTTCATTTGTTGATGATCACAAGGGCCTCGGCCCTGGCGACAACTAGCCTTTTAGACCCAGGGGAGAGGAGTGTCGGAAGTTCTGCAAATACAAGTTTTTTGAAGGTTGATATTTTTATCCAGCACTACTCATGCTTTTTTTAAAAAAAGAAGAAGAAAAGGATCACCAACAGCTCAGCCTGCCTTTTAGGGGAGAGGGAGGGGATAATTGGAGGTGTCTGCAAATATGTGGAGGTGGTTTTTTAAGTTCTTTAAGAGGTATTTTGTTACCATTATACAGTTCCCATGCTCCTCAAAGAAAGAAAAAGAACTAAAACAGGGTGGGCAAAGAATCCTGAGAGTCATGTGAAAACATGGGGGGCAGGCTTCAATGCATATCAGGTATGCAGGGAAAACCATCACTAAAAATGGAGAAAAAACTGATAACCCTGGACTATCTGGAATCTCAGTTGCAAGGGCAATTTTACACAGAATTGCATCATCAACCATAGAAAATCACCCTGGTACGGAAGCAGCCCTGGTAATGTGTTAGGGGGAGGGGAGCATCTTGGGATATTTTTCATTATTCAGAAGCAGCTTGCAATATATGCATGTGGGCAAGAACTGTGCATGAAATTAAACTCTAACTTCTCTGTTGCAACTATTCTCACTGTTAAAGGGGCAAGCCACAGTTCACCTTAAAAGCAGCTGGTCTTTGCAAAAGTGAAAACAATAATTAGAAAAAAGAAGATCTGACAACATTTGCAGTTCATGCAAATCCCCCCTCAACAGGGATTATTTGAACTATGGCCCATATAAATAAATACAGGAAAGACATCTCTTTCCTAATAAGAACTTATTACAGGGATAATTCCAGGATTGTTAATTTGGCATATGCCAGAAGCCTAATAGAATTTGCACTAGCTAAACGACATGCACTAATATTGCAGAAATGAGGAAATAAGATGATGTAACAAAATAGTCAAGGACCATCACTGAACAAAACATTTTAATGCATTCTCTAACAATACTTCTTCCTCCTGCATAAATAATTCTCGAGGTAGAAGTGAATTGTTATAGCCAGAACTGGCAATGTAATTCTGAGGACAATTTGCCTTGAAGTCTCATATTGGTTAAGTTAAA